GCTTGGATCCATTAAGAAAACTATCTTGAAAATCATGTATTGGGATCTGAGGGGACTGGATAGAAATATGGCAATATTCATGAGGAAGTGTGTGGACAAAGCCAAGATCTGAGAAACCCAAGGAGGGCACCAGATGTGCATCTGGGGCAACCAACAGCAGCCAGCAGTGTCTAGGGGCAGAAGGAACAGGAAATGAAGTTCCGAAAGACCCCAAGGGAAGTTTTTCTCTTAATAATTTTCTTGGGATCAACCCTGAAAATAACCTCCAGTAGGAGATGAAGATCTGGAAAATGTATCTTTAAGTGTATGTGAAGATTTATTTTTATACCTTAATGAAAGTTTTTCAAAAGTCCTTAGCTGAGTAGACTATATTTTCATCTAATTAATGTTCGAACAACAGAAACCTCAAATAGTAAGCACATTTTAGAAATACACAAAGAGCAGAAATACTCATGATAATGACCCTTGAAATATTATAAGACCTTGAAGTACCTTAAGGATTACAAAGAAATATTATAATATTATTATTATAGTTTCAAGAATAAGCTTATTTTACTGTATCTCAACATTTATAAATTGACAGTCTCTTACTTTTTAAAAATTCGACAAATATCCATTGAGTCTCCATTCTTCCAGTTACTATGCTAAGCCACTAGGATACAGTAATGCTTAAGACAGACACTCCCTGTTCTGATAGAGCTTTAAGTAAAATGGGGACAATAAACATGTATACACAGACAAAATAAACTGTGAACTAGGGAATAATGAGGCAAAGACATTTCTTGGTCAGATAAGGATCGGCTCTTCCATTTGGTAACATTTAAATTGAAAAATGAAGGATGAATAGGACCCAAATGTTCCATGGTAAGGAAATAGCATTCACAATAACCTTTAGGTTGAAAAGAGCCTGAAGATTTGAGGAACTGATATCAGAGAAGAGAATGTTATCACACGATGCTGGATGCTGGAGAGGTAGGTAGGAGTCTAATTATTCAGGGCTTCTGGGTCATAGAAAGGTTTTCAAATCACATTCACTGTGCAATGGGAAACCATTACAGAGTTGGAATCACGGAATGACATGATCCAACTTTCACTTTAAGAAAAGTTCATTGGTATGTAAAGAATGAATTTGGTCAACAGTCAATAATGGTGGAGGGAACCAGTTAGGAAGGTTTTGAGGGGTACAGACCAATCTGATCTAAACTAGGGTGGTAGCAGAGGAAATGCAAGCAATGGATGGATTTAAGATGTGTTTGGGGTTATGCTGACTTGACTTGTTGGTTTTAATGTGGGAGATGGAGATAAGGAAAAAAGAAAAATCAATGTGATGCTTGGGTTCTGGTTTGAGCATTTTAATGAATTGTAATTATTGATATTATAAAGAACATGAAAGGAGAAAGTTATGATTGGGAATCAACAGTATAACCTGAATTATTAGGTTATGGAAATCCATGGGGCATCCTAAAAGGGACTATTGAATAGGCAGCTGGATACATAGTTTGGACTTTACAGAAGAGGTCTAGACTAGAGATGTGCATTTTAGATTCATCATCTTACAAATACCATTTAACGTCAAAAGAAAGGTGAATTGCCTAGAGAGATATTATAAAGAGAGAGGAAAGAAGAGCCCACAGATCCAATATTAAGTAATCAGATAGAAAACAAGGTCTGAGAAGGGAATTCCAGACATTATGAGGTAAGGGAGCCCATTAGGAGCAAGGGCTTGCTGGAGGGAATGGTCAGCTATTGGAAAGATACTAATAATTGAGTTGTAAGAGAGAAGGAATGATTTTCCTATCAAGTTCTTGTTGAACCAGTGAGAGACATGTCAATGGAGTGGTGAAATGAAAATTCTTTAGTAACTAGAAAATATGGTCAATGAACCATAAAATCTTATACTTCAAACACTCTGGATAAATTTGAAGCTAAGTGCTACCATCCTCTAAGTGGCTCAGAAAAATTGGAGAGGTCAAAATTGAATTTGTATGCTACAGCTTTATAGCTCTCTGGTTCTTGGGTGCTGTAATAGGAGCCAAAGCTTCAATGAACATAAATTTCTACGATGCTTTAGTACTTCTCTATTTTTCAAATATCAAATCAACTTTAATATGAAGAGACAAGTTTAACTGTAAATTTCAACTGAATGTTTATTAGTATGTGTAGAAAACAATTGTAATTGCAGGTAACTTTAGAACACTTAGTTTGTTCAAGGGGACATACTATGCAATTTCCGTACATTATATGACTTACTCGTTGTACTCCAGTTGCAGACAAATAAATTTAGACTTAGAAAAGTTCTATAAGTCACTCAGAAGTATTACTCAGAAATGGCAGAACCCAAACATGAAACCACGATTTTGCGTTTGTGTGTTTGTGTATGTGCACTACTGGGAATTGAGTCAGTGGCAGTGGTACTCTAAACTGAGCTGGGTTCCCAGCCCTTTTCATATTTTAAATTTTGAAACAGTCCTTGAACTTGTGATACTCATACTTCTGTGTCCCAGATCACTGTGATTACATATGTAGGCCACCATTCCCAGCTGAAATCATGATTTTTTAACCACTATGTTTATAGCTAATTTATTGGCCAATAGAAATCACTTCAGTTAAAAACATGACACAGGTCACTCTGAAAACTAAATCACTATTTGATAGCTCATTTATTTGAAATAGAATTATTTTTTAACAGTTACTAACTGACATGAAATAGTAAGGTAAGTTTGCAAAGTCATATGAGGTTTGGGACTATATCTAGATGAGGAAATTAAAGAGAAAAAGGATAAAACCAGCTGTTTGATATTTAGAACCACAGTTTTAATATTCCAATTGCTGCTGTTTCTAGCTTTTCATCCAGAAATATCTAAAATTCTGAATTAATTTTAAAATGCGGATCCTGGGGCATTTGGCGCATGTAGAATACATCAAAAATGGTGGATTTTTTTTTTATAAAGAGAGTCTATTAACAGAATTTAGACATTGGTATGATGAATTCTTTTATATTTTATTCTTCATTAAATTTTGAATGATGGCAAATAAGTAGAATAACATTTATTTGCATATTTAGAACTCTTGAATGGCTATTCTAGTAATACCGCAATTGTCAAATACACTGAGGGAGTCATTATATTGTAATTGCCATTTATTTCCATTTTCCACTAGAGGGATTTTATTTACTAAATCTTTTATTGTAATACTTTTAGAGTAGGAATGTAATTCAGAAAGACTATTTAGGATATAACACATTATTATTTTAACTCGTGATTGAACCCAGGGGTGCTTTGCAACTAAGCTACATCCTATGCATTTACTTATTTATTTTTTTTAAATTTTGAGACAGGGTCTAGCTAAGTTTTGGAGAGTTTCCCTAAGTTACTGAGGCTGTCCTTGAATTTGAGATCGTCCTGCTTTCTGAATCACTGGGGTTGCAGGCACGTGTTACTGTGCCTGATCACAACGCATTAATGTTAAATATGATGTCAATGGCAGACTCAGGCAAAGTAGGCATTACATATATCCATTTTTCTCTATAAATGGAGTGAAAGAATACTTTTCACATGTACAGTAGTCACTCTAGTAGTAATTATTCAACCTAGTTGACAATATAATTGTTTATAGAAAGTACAGTTTCAATTAAGCCAAAATATGTAAAACTAATATTCAGAAGAAAAAAAGAATTATAAATAATAGTAATATATTTAAAATGTGAATCATTTATATGACACCAAAGGATAGGCAATAAGAAAAACAAATGAACTACATCAAAATAACATCTCTGTTTATCAAGGGACACAATCAACAGAGTGAAAAGGAAACCCACAGAATGGGAGAAAATATTTACAAATCATAAAATTTTAAGTGGTTAAAACCCAGAATATGTAAGATCAACTTCAACTTAACCACAAATAAATAACTGTATTAAAAAAATAGGGAAAGGATTTGATTAGACATTTTTCCAAGGAAGATATACAAATGACCAAAAAGATGTTGAACATCATTAACAATAGGGAGATGTAAATAACAACCACTAGTACATCTTAAACCCACTAGTACAGTATTTGTCAAAAAGAAGGAAGGGTTATGGAGAAACTGTAACCCTTGTGCATTGTTGGGGGGAATATAAAATTATCAGCTGTAATGTAAAACGGAATGGTGATTCCTCAGAAAATTTAAAAAAGAATTACCATGGGATCCAGCAATTTCACATCTGGGTACATAGCCCAAAGAATTGAAAGTAGGGACTCAAACACAGATTTTTACTTTCATGTTCACAGCAGATAATTCACACTTAAAGATGTGAACAACCCAAATGTCCAATGGCTAATGCATAAATAACGTGTTGTATTTGCATAAAACAGAGTATCACTGCCTACAAAAAAAGAAGAAAATCTGACACATACTACAACATGGATGAACTTTTAGAACAGTATACTGAATGAAATAAAGTCACAAAAAGACAAAGACTGCATGATTCTCTTTATATGAGTACCTAGAGCAGTCAAATTCATAGAGGCAGAAAGAATGATAGCAGGGAGAGGGGAATGAGAAACTGTCATTTAATTGATATAGAGTTTTAGTTTTGTTAAGATGAAAAGAGTTGCGGAGATGGGTGATAGTGATGGTTACAGAGCAATGTGAATGTACTTAATTCCACTGAATTAAAAATGGCTAAGAATATAAATTTTATGTGCATTTTATATAATTTTTTAAAATAACAAAAATATATTTCATTGTAAGTGGTGTAAATTTAAAAACCCTTTAAAAGAAGAGAATTTGTATCAAATTGATATGTAACTACAAACTAACTTGAAAATATTTTCCAAGCTCTTTCATTAGAGATTAGGTATGTATTGATATATATAATTACATATATGTTCATATATGCTCTTGTATAATTATATACAGTGTAAAAATCTATTTTCTCTTTGGCGGTGTTGATTTTCCGGATATGATGAAGCATAATACAATAAACTCAATTTAAAAAGAATTTTTTTTCATTGCAGAACTGTGGCCACTTGTTCACATGGTTTCAAGACACAATGAGGCGCACTGGCTCTTGGAAGCTTTGGCCTTGGGTGGCAGTGTTCCTGCTTCCTGCTTCTACTTCCGTGACGGTTAGGGACAAGCCAGGTATCCAAGCGATCTCTTTGCCCAATTGCCAAATGTTATTTATAGTCAGTCAACCATTTAAAAAAATCATTAAAACAAATCTTGTTAAGGTTAAAGCAGCTATAGATTAGATCTACTAGTATACAATAAATCCAAATTTGTTGTTTTCCACCACTGTCCTTCACATAATTCTCATTATCTCATTTTTAAATATGCAAATTGTGCATAGAACTAACCTTTCCTCTCTCTCACTGATATTTACAGATATAAATATATGCATGTATGTCTGTATGGGCATAGATATGATAACGTCTCTCCTTTTTCCCTTTAAGAGTTACTATTTCAAGTTACAAGTACAGAAACTCATCACTAATTAGGATTAAAGAGGACATGTTCTAATCTCAATTGGGGAATGTAAAATTAGAATAGGAAATTTAAAACAAGATGTAGTTTAATTACATGTCAATTTTATAGTATCTCAGAGGAAGAAAACAAAAGGTGACAGATCTTCAGAGTATCTTTTGAACTAAATAGACAATATTTATTTGCAATTGTTAAATTTATGGGTCTTCTCATAAAATATTTTCAAAGGGCTTAGAAGGCAATTTAAAACATTGAAACATTTACTTCTATCTCTGCCTAATTTGGAAGACTTTTCTTGAACATTGAGTGCATATAAATTACTGTGCTAGATGTCCTTCCTATTACAAAGTAGAATCAGACACATTGGAGTTCACTAAGGAAAGAGAAACATAGCCCCTCCTTCCATGCAAAGGATCACACAGCATGTTTTTTTTTTATGATGAGCACATGTGGTGATGTGCCCTGAGTCTTACTGTATTTATTCTTTTCAATATTTCTTCAATAATTTTTGCTAAACAGGAATAAAGTAACTTTAATAGAGACTTTTGAGTTTAAGGCACACATAAAATAAAAACAACCACTTGTAAAGATATAACAAATCTGATTTTCCAGGGTTTTATGGAAGTCCTTATGATGTTTCATTAATTTAGCAGAGGTACGTTTCCTAAAATAGTCCACGTGAGAGTTTGGATATTATATTACTATATATTAAATGATATCACAAGGCTGTCATATAATCTTGGGGGAAAATTCTTTCTTCAGTGAGAAATAAATGAGAAGTGACTCAGCAACTATAGCCATGCTCAAAAAGAAAAACAAAAAAGATACATAGGACTGGGAGTATATTCTGATAATATTACTGCTCTTATAAATTTACGTGTCTTTAACGAACACTAAGTAAGGCGCTTTGCAATTTAATCAAGGAGGGTAGGATTTTTGTTAGAAAGGATAATGGTTCTTTTGTTGACAGGACAGTTTTTTGAACACATGCTAGTTTGTGATAAAGTTTCTTGATGATAACAGTGATTTGAAAGGTCTATATAAATTGTTCTAGATCAAGCAAGAATCACCAAAAATATTGACTCCTGAGTTCTATTCATAGATTCCCTTTGTGCAGGTTCAGGTAGGGTGGGATTTGGTAATTTATGTCTTTAATAAGTTCCCTAGATGAATTTAATGCATGATTTCTAGGGAAAACACTTGCCTTTGAAAAAATGTACTGAAATTTCATTTTTCTTTTTTCTTCTCTTCTCAGTTGATTATCTTGTATTTTATGCAGCCAGGTTCCTTTTATCTTGCATTTCATTTTATCTTTTGTTATTTTAATTTTTTTGCCTTTAGTAAGTCTTATTTTTTAATGTAGGAAGAACACTTAACATGATATCTACAATATGATTTTGGAACAGACTTTTAATGTACAAGATAGTATTATCGATCATAAGCACAATGTTTACAGCATATTTCTAGAACCTAGTCATCTTATGTAGCCTGACTTCCCTATTTTGGGATACCCCTGAATGTTTTGCTTTTGCTATAGTATTTCAATTCTTTAATCTAGTTACACTGTAGATAGGTTTACCAAAATGCATATATTCTGGTCCAATTTACTTTACTTAATTAATATATTCAAAAGATTTTCCTAAGAACATGAATTAAAAATTAATCTGAATTCTAACAAGATTCATAGAACATGTTTCACTAAAGGAAATTAATAAAGAAAAAACTTAAGTCAGTTTTTACCAGGCCATTTGGTAGAAGATATTCATGAAGCAATAAATGTTGAACGTGCCATGGAAATTGCTTCATTTCTAGAATCATTTGCCTTAATTGAAAATGCCAGTACAGTACCGTCAAAGGGATTATTGAAGAATAAGACAGGCTGAGCCTGGCAGAGGCCTCTTCTTGTGTCTTGTGTCTTGTGTATCTGATTCACGATGCAAGGTTCCTGTTTTAGTTTCCTCATGTGCAGACCTGTGCGTGTGGTCACTAACCATTTACCGGAGGGAAGTGATTACATCTAAAAATAAAATATAACAAACCTGAGAGGAAGGCTAGGGTTTCAGCTCTGGAGTCTGTGAAGTTGTCAACAGTTTACTGTTAAATCTAAATATATGAAGGATAAATTGAGTCTTTTCATTGCTCTACTTTAGTTCTATATAGGATGTTTAATGATTACTAGGAATATCGTCCAAGGTGGGACAGAATTCAAGATTAATGGGAGATTCAATAACAGATTTTAGAAACTCAAATGTATTAAGAATTTAGTCATTTCATCTTCATTTATCAATTTTACTATTATGGTGATGCTATAGGAAAAGTCGTATTTGTATGTTGTCATATTGCCAGTGAGCTTTAACTTGAATGTGATAGTTTCAGCTCAGTTAGCTGTGAAAGGAAGATGGGGGTAAAGACATGTATTAAATGCATTCAATGCTAGATAATCTTAACATTTGCTTTAATCAGTTGCATTAAACTGTTTATTCTGTGATTGAAACGTGTATCAAATGCTTAGTTTCTTCTATTTTCCTTAATTTGTTCTTAGGCGTAAGCATTAAATTATGTATCGAAGTGATAAGGAAAAACAAAACAAACAGAAAACCAGAGTAAAAATAGAAAACAGGCTAAAGATGACAGAATGCCATATAAATAATAAAGTTTTAATTTAAAATTTCACATAAAATGTCAAGATAAATTATTATAAACATGGGACCAAAGCCACAAACAGAAACTCTATTAAGCTAGTTTCCTATTAATTACAAGAAAAAATACTTTTATGAAACATAGCTTTTACTGATTGAGAAATACCTTAATCTTAAACTGAGAGCAAAAACATTGCTATCTTATAAAGAATGTTGCATTTTTAAGAAATCCTCTAGTGTTCAGTATGGCACCAAGTGGAACTCCTAATGTTAACAAATGTCCTTTACAATTTCTAAATTTGGAAAGTGGAGGAAAGCTTCACAATAATTAGATAAATAAGATAGCTCCTAGCCAGGGTTCTTCAACTCCTTTGAAGAAACAGTTTTGGATCAAAGATAAGCAGTAAGGTACTTTTGGCAGTTTTTGTGATAAGGTAGCTGTGTTTCCATTTTTTTCTTTTTTGGTCCCTTTTTCATATTGTCTTTGTTATATTCTAGATCAATGCCCTTAGCTTATTTTTATTAACCAGTTTTTCTCCCAACTGAGGATATTAGAAATTGTTCTATCAGACCTATTGGCAAAGTATCAAGTGCGCAGGGGGGCAGAAGGCAACCGGTGACAATGAAATGAAGGAGCCTGTGTTCCCAGTCTCCAACAAGTCTGTTTTAGCCTTTGAGAGCATGAAAAACATCTAACGGCTGTTGTGTCTCCTTATATGAAAAGCAAACAGACAAATCAGTTCTATCTGTGATAAATGTTGCTTTTTACCTTCCCCAAGTGTAGTCATGATTTTTGTCACCAATAGGCAAAGAAGACAATTTTCCTTGATGTGGGTTAGAGAAGATCGATAAATAAAATTTCTATGCAATGAGGAAGATTTTATTGGGATTTTACAGGTATACTTATTCCACATATATTATGTGTATTCATTCCTATGCATATTGACAAGAGGAGATAGCTGTTGTGATTGTGCAGGGGATAATGCTCACCCCTGTTCTCTTCTTGTCTTATACTCTGCAGGATCTAACCCATGTCCGTGTCTTTAAATGTTATTTATATGTCAGTCATTCCCAAATTTACTTCATAGCCTGGATCTCTCTTTTGAGTTCCATTCCCTTATTTATTTATTTCTGTCTTTTTGATAAAGAATTTTGAATTGACATATAATATTTGTACATATTTATGAGGTATGGTGTGGTAACTCGATAGATGTACTGTCTGTAATGATCAAATTGGGTAACTGGTGTTTCTATATCCTTAAACATTAACTGTTTATTTCCATTGAAAATCTTTGAATACCTACTTTCTAAAATCTTATAAAATTTATAAAAATTTTTCAACTATACTCACCCTACTGTGCTGTAAAACATTAGAACTTGTTCCTCCTATTTAATAATATTTTGGTATCCATTATTCAACTTTCCGTTATTTTCTGGCCCCTTACCCTTCATAGCCTCTAGTGACCACTTCAATGAAAACAATTTTTTTTAAGCTTTAACATGTGAGCATAAACATTCAGTACTTGTCTTTCTGTGCCTGGCTTATTTCACTTAACACAGTGTACTCCAGTTCCTCCATGTTGCCACCAATGATAGGATTTCATGCTTCTTTATGGCTGAATAAGATTACATCTTTATAATTATACCACATTTTCTTTATGCATTCATCTGTCAATGGACTATTTGATTGATTCCATATCTTGGGTAGTGAATAGTGCTACAGTTCACATGGGAGTACAGATATCTCTATTATTATTTTTATTATTACTATTACCATACTAGGGATTGAACCTAAAGCCTCATGCATACTAGTAAAACTCTGCTACTGAGCTTCATCCCCAGCACTATATTCATTTTATTTTGAGACAGGGTCTCACTAAGTTGCCTAGGCTGGCTTCAAACTTGCAGTCCTCCTGCCTCATCCTCCTGAGTAGTTGAGATTACAGGTGTGTACCATTTCAACTGACTCAAGTATCTCTTTATGTAATTATTCCATTTCCTTTGGCTATATAACTAGTT